GGTGGTTCTTCTTCTCCTTCTCGTTATGTCGATGGTTACGAAGCTACTAGTCGTCGTATCAGTTCCGTTGGATCTAGATCTAAGGTTTGTTTCTCATTCTTGATTATGTTCTAATTTAACTAGTCTGTTTTGAACTCATCAAAAAACTTCTTCTTCTTCAGTTATGTACTTGATTGTATCGTAAGAAGAAGATGATATCGATCTAGGGATTTTTGTTTTGGGGATTTTTTTTTTTTTTTTGTTTTTGAGGTTTTAATCGGGTTAAGGTTTAAGTTAAATTGGTTTATGATTGGTTTAATTTGTTTTTATTGGTTAAAAACAAGATTGGTTTACAGTAAACCAACAATAACCCAACTCGATGTTTAAATCAGTTTCGAACTTCGATTATGTGGATAAGTAAATTTCGAACTTTATATATGGGGAGAAATAATTGTGGAACTATTTTTCGAGGGAGACATAGAGAGACACTGAAAGTTTGGGTGGAACTGATCGTATATGAAAGTTCCTGGGGGAAATAGATCGTCGTTCCACAAATGGAACAAATAAGTAAAGCAAAGTTATATATATACTTTTCTTAGATTATTAAGAGAAGAAACAATGCCTAAACCCTAACTGCAGTTTTTGTTTAGAGTTTGAGAGATGTCACAACGTATGTGGACTACATTGATTTTACTTGTATTGTATCTTAATCTATCCTGATTCAGTTTTGACCACAAATTGTTATGATTTTGACAAATACTATATATAAAGCTAATAAGTAAAGAATTTTTATATTTATATATTTTTCTAAATTTATTATAAACTATAGATATACATATATATATATATATATATATATATATATATTAAGAACACAATTTAAATTTAAAATAAAATAATAATACATATGTCACTTTGCTTTGGGTTCAAACTCATTATTCTCTAATTATTTGGTGCAATTCATTTCATGTAAACAATATGCGAACAAGAAATATTTCCATAATAATAACTTTCCCTCTTAAATATTTCACCAATTTCATATAGTTCTTATGCACTTCTACGTGCCCTTTAGAGGAATCTAAGCAACGAGAAGAAGACAACAAAATATGTTTTCTCTTCAATCTTCCATGTCTATGATTGTATTAAAATATGTACAATTTAAAAGAAAATTATATGCTTTCTTTACGCAAGCAAGTTCTTTTTCCCCCCACATGATATACAATAAAACCATCCATCAATGTCACAACATGGCTTATCTTCCTTCAGACCTTATTTACCACTATTCAAAACATAATCTAGATAAAAAAGACAGCTCACAGAGTTTCTTAATGGTCATGTGATAAAGATGGTACATTTTGTCACTTTTCTTTCCAACTAGATTATGTCAATCAACTGTGATAAATTAGGCTAAAATAGAATAAACCTATTTGCTGTTGATGATTGGTTCCATTTTGTTTCCTGCAGTGAAAAAAAACAGCTTGATTGAGAAAATCAAGCATTCAATCTTCTTTGATTCAAATTGGGAAAAATGTCATTAAATTTATCAACTCAGTTATTTACGCCGATTAAACTATGAACTTTCATGCAGACCATTTAAACCATACATACACATTGACTTGCAAACTAAAACATGAAACAGATTTAACCAAGCCAAAAACAAAATATCGTTGAGCCCGATAACGGAGCAGTTAACAACATGTCATTGTGCATACTTCATAAAGAGATTAAAAATGCAAATCATTCATAAATCATGTTGTTAACAGACTAACAACTATTAATTGCTCCATTATCGGACTTAGCGACATCTTGTTTTTAGCTTGGTTAACTATGTTATATGTTTTACTATGCAAGTCAATGTGTATGTATGCATGCAAAGTTCATGGTTTAATTGACCTAAATGACCAAGTTCATGAATTTAATGACATTGTTTACCCCACATAATTAACCACAACTACACCAGTTTTGAGAAAATTTGACAAAAGAAAAGTGGTAAAGTAGGTACTAGATATACTTGAAATATTGGATTCATGAGCGTGTCGTGCCACCATATTTCCTACATCCGTAGGGATTTCCTTCTTCATCTTCAACAAAGGAGAGAAGTCTTTTTGGGCGGATGTGTGACGCTCCTCCTACAGTTATGGATTTCGAAAAAGGTGATATGTCTCCAGACTAAATCCTAAATACAATAAAAACAGTTTTTGAAAATATTGAATCAGCCAAGCCATCGTAACAAGAGACCGTAAAGCATATATCTAAAAGATATATCAAAAAGTATTGAAAATGCCAAATCAACCAAGCCATCTTAAAGAGAGATGGTATAGGAGAAAGAACAATATACCTAGAAGATATGATTAAGCCATGAGCGTGTAGTAGTGCCACCACATCTCCTCATCTCCTCTACACCATTCTCACTTTTTGATTCTGCTTCATCTTAAACAAACGAGACAAGTCGTACGTTTGTCTCTTTGACGCTCCTCCAACGGCGTTCTTGTGGTATGATCAGCTATATATATATGCATAGAGAAGGAAACAATGCCTAAACCCTAGTTACAGTTTTTCTTTTTAGTTTGACAAATGTCACAATGTCTATGGACTACACTGATTTTACTCTTATCATTTACTTGTATTTTATCTTAGTTATCCCTTCTGATTTAGGTTTGAGCTTTGACCACAAAATATAGTAAATTATCCCCTTAAAGTAAGAAGTTTTATATTTATTTTGACTTTGACAGATGTCACAACGCTTCATGCATGAAGCAAATTTTATACAATATCTTATCTTTTCTCTCTTGATTTCATTTTGACCACA